GGAAAATATAGCTTATTTCTTGATTTGTTGTTACAATTACTCCTAAGGAGTAATTGCTCTATTTGATTTAATAAATATTTAGTAAAAACAATGATTTTCCCTTATTTAGTCGCCCCCAGTGGCACAGCGGTATGTCTGAGGATTTACAAAGCTAAAAACCGGTTTCGATACCCATGGTGGGCAGAGCACAGATAGCCCATTGTGTAGCTTTGTGATTAACTTTAAACAAACAAACAACCCTTATTTAGTCATTACTAATTCACTATGTGTAGCATAAACAAATAGTTTCAACCATTTAAAGAAGACTAATACTGTAATATAACAATCTGGATTGTAATTTCGGGGGATTTCCCATTACACCAGTACGAGACGTGTCAGAACAAAATCTTTAAAAGACTTTTGGAGATTTCCTTAACAAGGGTTTCTTTGGTATAGTAATAAAACTTTATGTTGGAGCATCTCGCATTAACCTTGTGTTTGATCTTATCTTGAAAAATCTGTTAAAGACTCTGAAAGAATAAGAAAATCTAGTAGATAGGCTATTGAAATCAACAATAACATGGAAGATGCTGTGTTACTGGTAGACATGGACACATCCTGATCATCCTCTTCTAACAAGATTAATCTGCAGCTTCTTTAGAGAAAGTGGATAATTACAAATGCATCACAGAAATGTCTAGACATTCAGATAATACTAAGTGGAACTGGAGTTGCAGATATGGAAATGAACCATTGTGAGTATGTGATTTATTCAGGACAAGTTATGGTACTGCCAGACTTGTAAACTGATATTGAGGAAGTTTATGTCAAGCTGATACCCCATGTACTCCTTGCAACACAAGAAATATCACAACGTATTGTCATACTATTCAATGATATTAATGTTCATGTCTTGGGCACTCACTATTTCAGTTTTCTTTAACGTCATGGACTGGAAGAACTCTGGATGAGAGGTGGTGTAGGATACAATACAAGGTACATACCTCTTTACACCCTGGCTCACAAATTAGATACAGAAATGTGCAAAGTTTTGCCTTCCCTGCACTTGTTGACTGGGAGTGACACAACTAGTAAAGTAGGCACTAAAGCTACTGCACTAAAAGCAAACCCATTAGCCTACTTGAAAGATTTTGGAAATACTTTGAGTCACGTGGAGGCTTCACTCACTAAAGCTGAGGAGTACTTTGTACAGATATTCACAATTGGTGTCCCCTACTGAGGAATACTTGATACAGGTATTTACAAGTGGTGTTCCCTACAAGACGATAAATCAGCTTCGTTATTAAAAATATTACAGTTCAAAGAACATAACATTTGTTGAGCTGCCACCAACCAGCTTTGCTATAAGAGGGCATATTTTACGTGTGTTCTATGCTACATATTTGCAGTTGAATTGTTCGGGCAATCCTGATCTAGATCCGAAAGAAAATGGCTTCGAGGAGGAAGATGGGCTGTTTGTACCAAATACGTACAAGCGGTTAGAGACAAATGGTCTACCTCAGAGCTACACATGTCACCCACCGATGCTTATATCATGATTAGGGTATACCATGTTGCATTTACTGCAAATGTAATGGATTGCTATTAGATGCGACAGTTTGTTAAAATCCTAGTATTGTTTTAAGGGTGCCTGTGGCAATGCTACCATCAACATACCGTATTTTTCGGAATATAAAACGCACCCTTATTGTGAAGACAAAGTTTTGGAGAAAACTTTGCTAACTCCATTACTATAATTTATTAATCTATTAAACTATTTATAATGCTCCCTAAAATGTTTTTAAAAGAAAAAACTACTATTGTTATAAATAACACATTCAATTGAACTAAACTATGCATGCCTATTTAAATATATTTACACATGGCTTGTGTATATCGTATATATACATATATATATTATTTATACCTTCGGTGTATAGGATGCAAGCAGAATTTCACATCAAATTTTGGGGTAAAAAAGTGTGTCTTATACACCAAAAGATACGGTAATTAGAAATCTTCACCCCCAGTTGTAATTTTTAAATGGAGAGTAGATATAGGTAAGCTTCCCAGTCACATAATTGAAATTTGCCAACATATGAAACGTAGTTGCGAGTCTGTGATCTTTGTACATTCTTGCTTATTTCTAGCTCCTATATAATTTGAAAACTGTGAATTTCTGAAGTTGCTGGTGTAAAAAACTATAAAGCTCACCCAAGTACTTTTTTTAGAGCTTTCAAGTTTCTCTCTTGCAATTTATTTGTCAAAAAGCTCACTTTCTTCTGTGGACTATGAGTTTTTAATTATTACATTACAAGTGTCTTTGGTCACATGCCTTCAAATAATTCAGTTGTCTTTTTCTGTTTGCTGAATAAAAGAAATAAATAAAATGTACTGGTTCCCTTGCTTCTTTATTGTTGAAGTGATTACTTATGTAATTGAAGTGTGCCCAAACCCTATGAAGTGTTATAATGAACTTTTCCTGACATGAGCTTGTGGATTTGTTGTAGGGGTGTTTTTTGAAAAAGATGTACATGATTTCTAAAAGGAGTATAGGAATAAGTTTTATATAGAAGGTATATTAAGATAATTATGATCTATTTATATGAGTTTTAAAGATTTATAGGATTTCTTTGTCCATAAACTTCTTTCAATAATGTGAACAGTTAATGGTGTATTTAACCTGTGGTTGTTTCTTGCTATTGGAAAAGGTGTAAGTTCATTGTAATGATAGAGATAAAACAAAAATAACATGGCTGTATAAAAATATAAATGTTTTCCTTAGTGTAAAATACAAACCTGTCTTTTTAAGAGTCTTGTGTAACAGCATAATATTTACTAAAGAAAAATCAAACTTAGGTTCAGCTGGTTGTCAGCTGGCATTTTAGATGATATTTATTAGTTGCTAATTTTTTATAAATGCAAATACAGAAATGGCAATATACTACCTCTGGGATGAAAAGGTTAATATGGATCTGTTTTAACTTATTGGAAACTGATTACTGTGTAGGAGTTCAGATGTGAAGTTTAACATTTACAAGATTTGCTGAATTTCTAATTAATAATGTACATTGTACTTAAGTGCATTGCTTTCATTTTTGGTGGTAGTAGTAAGCATTTACGATATGCTATGCTAAATCTTGGCAGTTTGTACTTTACCTCATTGGTGTCAAGTGCTTACACAGCTCAGTACCCATTAAATCCAACAAGGTGGTGGTGTAAAATATGTGACTGTGAAGCTCTCCCATTGGATTTTGGAAACACACTGGTGTCAATAAACTAATTGCACTGTACCCATTAAATTCAATGACATAGTGATATCACATCATCATTCAGTAACATCAAATACATTAATTTCAGTCTTTGAGTTGTATTTAGTATTTGCAGTTTTAGATATTAACTACAAAACTGAATCTAAATAACTTGGAAGCTACTGACTGTAATGTCATGTGTCAGTAATGTTTACATCTTAAACACAAAAATATTTGAGTTTTATGACTTCCTATATTAATAAATGCATATTGCTAATAAATGAGAAACATCACAGTGATACTGATAATGATATTAATCACAGTTTCTAACTGGATTGATATAGGTTTTTAGTAAGAAGAGTTTATAATAGTTATTACATTATGTTGTACATCACTTTTGATGAAATCTTTTTGCTCAGTTTATGAGTTTATCAGAGCCTTGGTAAAAACATAAATTGTTTATAATATATCAAGTTTAATAATCTAAAACATAATTTCTTTTGAAGTAAGAATGAGGCTTTTAATTTGACTTGTGTCTCTTTTAAACTGATGCTGTACAAGTTTCCATTAAAAAGATGACATAATAAATATTTTGTATGTTACATAAGACTGCAAGTAATAACTTTCATTCTATACTAGACCTTGTTGTTATTGGTAAAACTGGCAGCTAAGTATTTCCAAAATTCTTTTGTTTCTACATAGAAGAACATTCAGGCCAAAGTTGAAACAAAAACTTGGCTGCCATCCCAGGCTACAATGTGTTGCTGTAGTAGTAAGTTGGATGTACTAGAGTGACTGACAAAATAAGTTTCTTTTAGAGCACCAAAGGCAAACTACTGAATTCAACTTGTATATTTTGCATCTATTTCTAACATTACACAGTATGAACAGAAACAGTTCATGGATGTTTAATGTAACCTATTGTACTTGCATTTATTGTGAAATTGTATGAATAAACACAAGAACCCAGCTGAATATGTAAGTAATGATTACATACTGCATTCCACCATCTTACAACAAGATTGCATTGGTCTAAGCTTAGGTATAGAGATATTATGAAAAGTTGATTTGATTAAGTATTGAAAAAACTGTCATCTGTTAATTTACACCATTAGGCTACAGTAGACTTTTGAAATTTTGATTGGTTCTGGAGGTGTTTGGCCTGTGCCTGTATTGTAATACTTATTTGATTGCAGAGAATGAACTAAGAATGCACTTTTTATATTCAGTTATTTTGAATTTATAACACATTTAGTCTTCTTATTTGTTGATTTTCTTACATGTCTTTTGTACTTTATTTATTTATATAGATCCTTTTTTTGTAAGAAAACATACTGTACTGAAATTACTAGTATTAATAATATTGTATTTACTATCAGCTATGACATTTCTTTTATTGGTATTTATATCAATCAATCTCTTATTACAATGTGTAAAATTTTAAATGAAACACTAATGACACTGGTTTTTGTCTCTTGGTGGAACAGTGGTTAGTCTACAGACTTGCAAAGCTATAATACACACACACACACACACACACACACACACACACACACACTAGTTATTTACAAGACATTAGTTATGATTGTTACAAAATATCTTAACTGAGGAATTCAGAAAGATATTTGAGATAATTATGAACTACATAGAAAACTGCTGTGAAGAACAAAATCCTGAATTTTGATATTATTTCTAAAAGTTTAAATTTACATGTATAAAAAAGTGGTGATAAATGTTAAAGGAAAAAGATAATGTTTTGTCTCCTTATAGGAATCACTAAAGCCAATTTTTCAAGGAGGCGATTCACTAGTGATAAATAGTTGTCAACAAGTCCTCTATACTTGTCTTCATGTTGGTCTTCGTCTTATCAGTCCTTTTATGCCTTTTGTCTCTGAAGAACTTTTTCAACGACTTCCTAGTCAATTGGAAAAGTCTGAGCCAAGTATTTGTGTGACACCTTATCCAGAACTTAAAATGGTAAGTGCACTATTGAAAATAAGTTGATTTTTGAAATTACATGTCATAATGTTGACAGTATTAGATCATAATACTTTCTCATGTTGTTCTAATTATTTCTGTGATTTTAAAGGTAAAAGAAAAACATGATAAAATAACAAGTATGTTGTTATCTATAAATCCTAACAAATATACTTATTTGAAAAATATTCTCTGTATGAAAATAATAAGTCATACTAGGTTGTTCGTGTCAGGCCATGTTCCTCAATAATTTATGGGCCTGGCATGGCTAGGTGGTTAGGTTGCTCGACTCTGAGATCACAGGTTCAAATCTCCACCACACCAAACATGCTCGCCCTTTCAGCCATGGACACATTATAATGTGATGGTCAATCCTACTATTCAGTAGTAAAAGAGTAGCCCAAGAGTTGGCGGTGGGTAGTAATGACTATCTGCTTTCCCTCTAGTGTTTCAGTGCAAAATTGGGGATGGCTAGTGCAGATAGCCCTCATGTAGCTTTGCACGAAATTCAATAAAACAAAACAACCAAACAATAATTTATGCTGTATTGATACTAAATTTGTATATCAGGTTTGTTTGTGATTGGTTTAGTCTTAGCTATTTGTGTAATGAAACATTAGCCAGTCAATGTATACAAAGTTATTTTTGTTTTCATCTTGTGTGCATCTGTGAATCAATGAAAAAAGCTTGTGATTCTTCAAAAGTATTACTAATACAAAGGTTGAGAACCTTAGATTAAAACGATCTTGAATGTGCAAAATAACAAATCATTTGACACTAGCCAGTATATATTCTGTTCCAACAGAACTTTATCAGAAATATATTTTAACATTGTGTAGCTATTTGTAGGTAATGTCATGACATCAAAATTGATCTGTAACAGTTCTTTCTGATGCAAAATATTCATACACTCAGATCATAAAGATGCATTCAGATCGTGATTTAGAATATCTCATAGCTTTGAAAAACAAAGGAATATGGATCAACTAGGACTCCAAAACAATCTGGAAAGACCTACATCAAGTTTTACCCCAGACATCTTGTAAAAGTTGAGAACACAATAGTCTGTGGCAAAGCCATCCATATGATCCAGGCAACAGTATGTAGCACGAATCACATGTACACAAGTTGCTTCTGTCACATAACAGCTGATCTGTCACATACCTCAAGCAGCTAGAAGGTGAAATATATATTGATGATTTTCTATATGAAGACAATCACTAGACACAGCATCTTTGAATTTCTTTGTAACCAGATTGGCGAAACATGTACTGGGAAAGCATTGTCTTCATGGCTATTCTCAAGATGAATGTGTAGATCTTTAGATAAAGCATGACTGGATATGGCAATAATAATAATATTAGCATATTATTAGTATATATGCATATAATATAAATAATATAGTGTTATATACAGCAAGAAAAAAGGGCAGGGTGGCAGCGTGTGGCTTATTAACTTTAGGGCACGGTCATGCTTTACTTTCTTTGCATGCTTTTGAATAATATGTCAAAGTTAATTCCATTATTTGTATAGATGTAAATGTATGTTTTTAAGTAATAAAAATAAACATTTACAACTTTATTTTATTGTTGATCATTTTTTATTAATCAGTAAGTCATTACTCTGTCTTCCTGTATCCATTGAGTTTCTCATATTCCTGCAGACAATTGTAGATTAATGTTATGACAAAGTCTTAGTCATTCTTTTCCTAACATGGCTCTTTCAAAATTGCAGCATCCCCCTAACTTGGATTTCAGCTCAGCACCTGCACATATTTCCATGAAACAAAATAAAAAATAATAAAAAATATAAGAGGTGTATAAATGTTGAACTTGGAGATGCATTCAGGCACACAAAACCATACAGGCACTACTTTTCTCTAGGCAGAGTTGTTTTCTAAACATAATGAAGGTAATTTAAAAATGAAGTAAAAAAGTCTGCCAATAATTAAAAAGCATTATTTGTTTCTGCCAAAATAATATAAACCCTTTCAACTATTTAAAGAAACTAACTTTTATTTGCATTTCATTGAAAATTTGTAAAAATAAAATATATCTGTCAAGTACTTCAGTATAAAACACCTTTTGTAAGGCCATCTGTAAAAAAACATTTTGCTGTCCCCTGACCAACTCACTAAAATACCTTGACTCAATACTTTTATGCCCTTGGGAATAATAAAAAACGTTTTAAAGTTATTGGCAGTCAAATCCAGACATTCCTACCCACCTCAAAAATTCTGGATAGAGGAACAGCAAATAAAATTTTTTAGGATGGCATAGGTTTTATCTGATTGACCAAAATATATTTTACTCAATCTATGACAATTAGATCTATTCATATAGACTAAAGAGTTTACACAGTAAATTATTTTTTGCCTATCTTGTTGATGCAAATCTAGCTAAAAATGGTCTCAAAAAACTTATTTTGTTAAATACTAAGATGGTAGTAGCTATAAAAGATAGTTCGTCATACAATCCCACTAAAGCAAAACAACGATAAAAATTTAAAAATAATAATTATAAATTACCTTGTTCTTTCTTAGAGAAAGGATTGGATACAGTGGTTTGATTTGGCAATCTTAGCCCTCTCATTTTCAATTTGCTTTAACTTCCGTTTAACAGACGGCATGATGCCTTACCTACACTTATGAATTTTATGAAACTAAGAAACAAAACGATGTTGTCAAAGCAAATTTTTTCAATTACAATTAGCACGCAATTCAACGTCTTGCACTCAGCACATTCTATTGGAGGTCAGGTAACCAGATGCTTCAGGAGATTTCACTTTTGACGTAATTGACGTCTTTATTTCCACTTTCATAACACATGACCACTTTCAAATTCCTTTTGTAACTAGAAGATGACCTGCATTAAATAAAAGTTTTCTATACCTATATCAGTCATGTATTCTATATATATAAACAACTCGCACCTAACGGATTACAATTAATGGATTAGAAAGGCAGCAGAGCACATCGATTGGTCAATGAATAGGTAAAAAAAAGACAGCAGGGCGGAGCAAAAAAGTAGCTGGTTTTTAGGCTGAGTTGCAGATAATGTTTTAGCTTTTTTAGAGTTAGCTTTTTCACTGTATCAAACTTAGTGCTTAAACTGAGAATTCGCCTAACACTAATTTAGCCGATATCTCCTTCCCCATGATGCTATGGGGTGGAGAAGCAAGAAAATGACCAGTCCAGACCCGGAACCAAAACCATAATCTGTCGAGGGCTCACCATCTCTGGTTTCCCCACCATGTATGGGTACCAGATTGACCAGCAAGCCCTTGTCCAACGCTGAATAGCTCGCCATGATCCAGAGCTTCATTGAACTGGCCTCCAGCAGATCAAGTCACGTTTCACCAAATAACTCACCCTGCACCATGAGAGCCAGCAAAAGATCAACACCAATAAACCAAGTTGCAGACTCACCAAACAGTAAACAACCCACAGAACCACAAACGTCAACATCTGCCAGCCAGTACCCTAACCCTCCTCCAGCGATCATCGTGGAAGGAATTCCCGCCACCTTAAGACGTCCGGAAATCGCCCATGAACTTAGAATTTTCATGAAGATTTGCTTCACGAACGTCCGAAGATTAGCCAAAGAAGGAGTCATAACTAAAACTAACACCCCTGCATAATATGCCAAGCTCCTTTAACCATGTGACCCCTCAGCCTTTCAAAGTGCCAAACTAAATGTCCACGTCCCGGGACACCACCAGCCAGCAGCCACACATGTCATCATCATTAGAGGTGTCCCACTAGACATAAGTACAGATGAAATAGTCCAAGAACTAAATTCTCAAGACATCTCAACCACCAAAGCTGAACAGATAAAATCCATAAGGACCGGCCAAGACACCCCTTTAGTAGGTGTCAGCCTATCCAATGAAAACCATGCAACCGGTCTCATCAAGAGTGGGGCCAACCTATGGTACATACATCACCCAGTTGAGCCAGCAAGACCCAGACAACCAACCATTCTACATGTTTTCCCTGCCAAAAGTTTGGCCTCACCCATTCCATTTGCATGTCCTGAGTCAAGTGTGTTCAGTGCAATGATCAACATCTGGTAGCTGAATGCCCAAGACAGCATTACAAAGACACATGCACCAACTTGGGAGGACCACATGCCGCCTCTTACTGCGGATGCCCCAAATACCAATATGTATTCAGGATAGCCTGTGCAAATAATGGACCAACCCAAGGTTCATTGCTCATTGAAGCCCAGCCAGCCCGCTGTTGGCTCGACATTAACATTCAAGGTGGTTTAAACGATAAAAAAATGAATTCTTTATCCTTAATCAAAATTTAAATGCAGCTATAATACCAATAAATGAAACATTTCTATCATCTAAAAGCAATTTCTTATTTCCTAATTACGATGTTAAAGCTATACCCAAATCACAGAATTTTCAAGGATTAATGTTACTTGTTAAGAAAGATCTCAAAGTCTCATTTCCCAATCTAAACATAAACTCTAACAATGAATACATTTTATGCAACATTCACACTCCCCCTCACGCAAGAATCACACTACTTGCCACTTACATATCACCCAGCAAAGAACCTGATATACACCTTCTTCAAACCGTAATCAATCAAAACATGCACGCAATTACACTAGGTGACCTTAACTCGAAACACTCTGAATTCAACTGCCAGAAAATAATGGTAATGGCAACATTCTTTGCAATTTCATCGACAACGACAGTCTTTTTGTCATCAATAAATATATGCCAACCCACACGCATCACAACGGTTCCCAAGACATTCTCAATCTTGCTATCATTTCACAGTTATTAATCCCACACAAACAGCTTTAAAGTATTATAACACATCGGCAGAAATCACATCCCCATCTCGTTCACCATAAATATCAACCCCCGCAATACATCACCAACCACACACCCCATAGTATTTCACTTCACCAAAGCAAACTGGGACCATGTAAAACTAATCACTTCTACCAGAAGTAGAAACAATAGCCAACCTGCTTGAAAGACATTGATATTTATGCCACAGTAATTACAAATACTATCATTAAGGCAAGCAAACACCATCCCAGTCACCTCAATCACTGGCAGTTAACTACAGAAATCCATAACCTCATAAAAGCTAGAAGATGCTTGTGCAGAGAATTTATTCTTACAAAAAACACACACACTAAAACTAATGAATAACACAAACAACAAGATTAAAAACTAATCACAACCCAGCACAAAGTAAATTGGCAAAGCTTCTGTCAATCATTAGACAACAGTAGACAAGACCCATCAAAGTTTTGGAAAAAGTTAAAAACTATTTGCAGTGACAAAACTGATCAAACAAACTACATAACTAAATATAACAACACCACAGCGACCACAGACGAAGACAAAGCTAAACTCTTCAGCGATTACTACTCCACAGCCTTCACCACTTTCAACAACGATCATTTTACCAAGGTGAATAACTACGTTCAGAATAACAATTACATTTTCACTCCCACTTTTCCAGTTAGCAACAACCCACACGTAGACAATAAAATTTCAAAACCTTTCACCAAAGCCAAAAATCCACATTAAGAAACTAAAAAAACACTGCCCTTGGCGAGGACAAACATGCTTTTCAAACCTAACAAACAAGTACTATGACAAGTCTAAAAATAGAAACGACCTTTTCACAAAACTCACCTTTATTTTTATCCCTCAAATCAGGATATTTCCCCACAATATGGAAATCTGCAGTCATTAACATCATCCCCTCAAAAAATAATGATCTTAGTAATTCAAGCAACCACAGACCAATAAGCTTGCTAAACAGTATAGGCAAATTAATGGAGAAAATAACCACAACAGTGCTGCTTTTCCACCTTGAATCTAATAATCTCCTCCCTGACACACAAAATGCATCACGCACACCATGACAAACAATTGATCATCTAGCCAGATTAACAGAATCAGTACACAAAGGGGTTAATCATAATCAAGCAACAATTGGTATTTTCCTGGATGTCAGGAATGCTTTTGATTCTGTTTGGCATGACGGCCTCAGATACGAGTTATGTAAATATAATATACCTATTCCACTTATTAGATGGATCTCAAGCTTCCTAACAGATAGAACCACGAAAGTCAGGATTAAATAGCAAACCTTCATTCCCTCTTAAAGCTGGAGTTCCCCAAGGCTTGGTATTAAGCCTGCTACTCTATATATTATTTGTGAATGACATAAACTTCCCTGACACTACTGAAACAAAGCTTCACAATGCGCTGATGACATCGCTGTATGGTGCATGTCACGCAACCCCTTGCTTGCAGCAAACGAAATACAAGCCACTCATAACAACATTGTCGGGTGGTGTAATACATAGCGCGTGCTACTCAACTCACAGTAGACACAAGCTATTATCCTTCACCGCAGGCTTAAGCAAAACAACAACAAAAAATTAAAAATATATGAGACACCAATCAAATTTATGAACCAAATAAAATTTCTCGGCTTAACCTTCAACAGAAAACTAACCTGGGACACACATTTTTCTGAACTAACGATCAAAGCACAACATTGGACAAATTATCCCTAAAAAATCAGTGGCTTCGCCAAAGGCTGCAATGCAAAAACAATAATGATGATTTACAATGCCATTATTAGACCAATTTTGAATATGGATGCCCCGTAACATGCCACAGCATCTTTACAAAAACTTGAATCTACCCAGCTAAAAGCAATTTCATTAGCCTACCGTCTTCACCCCAGGTTCTTACTTGCATAAAATAAACAAATCAGTGACATTACAAACATGCTTTTCAAACCTAACAAACAAGTACTATGACAAGTCTAAAAACAGAAACGACCTTTTCACAAACTCACCTTCATCGTAGAAACCAGACACATGGACCAAACTCATCTCTCCCTACCAGAACGAACAATGGACCAAAATGTTAAAATTTTATTTTTTATTTTTATGGCCATGTTTAATATTGTCGTAATGTAAAATTCTTGTGTGCGTGCAGAGCCATTTACCCTTTATTGTACTTAAAATAGCACAATCTGTTCAATGTAAATAATTTTAATGTTATAATACTTATTTGTAACTGTCTATAGTGATGCAATAAACTTTGGTTCTGGTCTTATGTCCTTTCTGGAACGAGGTGCAATGGGCCTCTGTTGTCTGGATCTGCTGATCGTGTTTAGATGATCAATTGTCAGACTCGAAGCTTCGACACATTTCCTTTTAATCAAGAAAGCAACCGCTCTTCCAATCTTTTTCACGGCTTTTCCTCATGTTTAAACTGCGAAAAATCAACAGCACAGAGAAACAATTATCACATCCACTATAATTATCATAAGTCATAGTCGGGGGCCAAGAGAAATAACATTAATTTCTGAACACCCCAGGTTTTCTAATAAACCTAAAATAACTACCAAGTCAGATAGGATATAGCAAGAAAACAGTGGAGCTGCCCACCCAGCTATCACGCTTTAGATATAACTCAGTTTTTTGCTTAGAAATTGCGATAGAGTGGTTTTTCAGCACGTGGAGTATTTAGAATCCTTGTTGATCCCTAATGTTAAGTACTGTCATACTTAAAATAGTGCTCTTTTTAAGAGTGGGAATCTTCTGTAAAATTAAACAATGAAAAGAAGTAGATAAAAATGCTTTTTATACCTACTAAGTGGATTTATAATGGACTATGGTGGAGAATTATTTAGAATTTGAATATAACACAAGACTTGCAGGCATGAAGCAAAACAAGTTGATAATGCATAATAAAATATAAATAAAACATTGTTAGCAAAGTATAAAACAAGTAATTGTGATATATAGTATATTATTCATATTAAAGTGACATGGTTGTAATTTTAATATCTATTTATGTTGATTATTGGGCATGGTTTCTGTTGTACATTTAGTCTTGGTTTTTGTATTTCAGTAAAAATGCTCTCAACTATTGCTTGATCAGTTGCATTTGCTTGTTGCTCTGTATTAGATCTCCAATTTTAGTGGGATATCTGGCAGTTGTTCACCCTTATGAACTGTCACTAAATTAAATCTTATGTTTGATATTTCATGACTGTCAACATTTGCATCTTCAAGAAATAATTTTACTATATTCATACTTTCTTGCAAAGCAGTTTGAAAAGTTCAGCATTTCTAATCTGTATATTGTATGGTAATACGACCATTGAATAAAATGCTAAATTTGAATTATCCTCGTTAAAAAACAACATTTTTTTGTTTTTTAAGTAAAAACTACTTAAAGATTTCAAATTATGTTCATTGTTTACCTTTAATTCTGTTAATATTAATATTTCAAAACAAAAGAATAGAGTAATATAAAGTAGAATAAGCCTAAACTTTATTATAAAAAAATTTTTACACATCTTTCTTAATTTGTCTATTTTGGATTCAAAATTAAAGGCGTGTCAAATTTTATGGAATATTGGTTTTGAATCCTTTGCCATCTTTTGGCCTTACACCATAATTTTTAAAGTAGAATAGTTTCAATAGATAAAGAGTGTCCAAGTTTTTTATACCCAATATTATTTTCTGGTTATTAACATACAACTGAATGACAAAAAATAATTGTAAGTCATCTTTTTGCATTAAGAAAAATATTAAAAATAATGTTGAACTTTCTAATTTAGGTTTACTTTTGTATCCCATCTAAATTTAATAGGTTTTTCTAATTTGTTGAATTACTCAATTATATTAAAGCAAAAATAACTTGCAAAATAATTGCTTTATTTTTCAAACTAATTTCAAATATTAGATTATTGAAAAGAAAAGTTCCATTTAAAACCAGTAAGCATTTACATATAAAATTCCATATTTCGTCAGAAAATTATTCAGTTTCTAAAAGTTAATATTTTTTAATCAAATAAATTTGAAACTATATTTTTTATGTGATTTAAATGGTGTATACTTTCAACAAAATTGTTATTTTTTCTGGAATTGATTATGCTGTTATTTTTGTTTTGAAAGAAACTTAACCATAAGTTTTACGTATGATGTTTCAGGCAAAATGTGTGGGATGACAATTTTAGCATTTTGTTGATGTGAATTTAGCTATTAAAAAAGCTAAGTAAGATAATGTTACTATTTTGTTCTAGTGTTAGGCTGTGCACAAATATTAGAATGAGGAGAAATATAGCATTATATGCTTATTTTGAATAAAAGACAGAGTTAATTTTTTTCTCATTTAGTATCCATGGAGAGAGAAGCAACTAGAGAAAGATGTTGATTTTATTCAAGGTGTCATACATAAGATCCGATCTGTACGCTCTGATTACAATTTGGCAAAAACTCGTGTGGACTGTAAGTTTATTACTTCTATACACATGCATAATAAGTTAAATTTATTCATGTTTGCAAAGTATTAGAATTTGATTCAATATTATGCTTGAAGTGTATTTGTAAATACTTATGTAGATATTCACTAGATACTGAATAGCACTTGTTGTTAGACTGAGACTGTCACTGGATTGTTAACTTTTCAATTATATTTTAAGACTTCAGAAACTTCTGAACCAGTATTAAAAAACAATGATATTTCAAGGTGTATTGAGGGTAATATCATTAGATTCTGTAGTTGATAGTTTAGAACATACATATAACTATTACATTTTTGAATTAGCTCAGTGAATGGTAGGTTCAACATGAACATACCAAATGCTTCTAAAGCTAGCTGAATTTTTACAGACTATAGAAAGTTACTGTGAGGTAATTTCACTTGTATTTTAAGAGATGAACTAGATTTCAAGTTAAAAATGTTTTTTTGCTAATAAATCTAGAAAGGTTCTCTGTAAGTATTTAATACTGGTATAGACCATTACCAGTAATGAAATTTTTAGTGTTATACAGCTCTTAATATGTGCAGTGAAATGTACTAACAATTCCTTTAAATTTGAAAAATGTCTACTAGATCTAGAAAATTTTTTTTAACCCTTACCATTTTTCAGTGGATTGTCCCTCTGCATTGAAAGTTAGCTTTCAGTAAATCACAAACTTGAAACTTGTTGGATGAAAAACGTTCAAGTTTGTATTTTATTGTAAATTTATCTGTTATTTTTATTTTTTGAAGTTAATAAAGTTTATTCATAGTACTTTAAACACTTCAACATAATAGAATGTTTCAGTTGTACTTGCTTGTTTTGCTTTTAATATTACATTTATATTACTTGTGAGCATTTTTTTTTTCAATCACCAGTATTTAAGACCAAAAATGTCTAGGAATTTATACAGACTTTTGCTTAATTTCATCACAGGGATTAAATCACAAGATGAATATTGATTTTAGAATATCAGTACACAACTGCATTGTCATAACTTAGTCATAATAAGTAGCATTTTGTGGTTTCAAAACAATTTTTGAATTAACAGAGTGAATTTGGTTTGTATATAGTATGCTGGTGTTGCTACATTTTCAAAATGACTTATAAAATAAACTTGAAAATTTGATAGATATTCCAAAATATCAAATTTGATTCTTTTAGTATATCTGAAAAGTGATGATGATGAAACAAAGAAGGTGCTATTTAAATTTCGTGAAGTTCTCCAAGCTTTGACATGCTCTGCTACAGTGGATATTCTTGATGGTGAAGGTCCTGCACGTGGATGTGCTGTTGTTTATATATCAGATCAGTGTGAAGCCTATCTAATGTTAAAGGTCTAAAAACTCCTTCCTTTTATCAAATATTTAACTGTGTAGTGTAAGTTAAATCTCTACTAGATGATCAAACTATTAGATATACCAAAGACTGTACAGTTTTTGAAATCATGATTAATTAAACATACTCCTGGTCCAGAGTTAGACCTAAAACTTCTACATAGTCTTGCACATTTCATCTTCCTTCAACCATTAAATGTACTAGCAGAAATTTTTTTTGGATGTTCATTTGTGGTGCCAGTTAATAATGGGTTTCAGTGAACCATTGTGAAATAATTACAAAACATCTATTTATTGTAAACATTGTTAGCACATTTATTTATTCTTTTTGGACCAGGGTGATCATCAGTAAACTTTTATTAGCCAGTAACATAATTATAAAACTAAGAAAAAGAAACAACATGCTTGTAAAATTGATTATATGAGGTTTTTAATAGCTTGTGTTCCAATTTCTAGCCTCCTGTGACACTAGCTGATTAGTATAAGATTTTAATGTGATATAAAATATTGCTGAAGACATTATAAGATGAGTACTTACTAAAGATGGCCATTTAACACTCTCAATATGGGCATCTTTTTCTGAGCATTGAAGAGGTTTTAGTGAGTTACATTCAAAATTTTATTAAGCTACTTTTTTTTCATGGTAGAACAATAAATATATTATACAAGTTGTAAGTTCTTAATTCTATAAGGCAATGTTAAAAAAAGTCCTGAATTTCCCCTAGTATGAGGATTGTGACATTTTCTCTCCAGGCATTCCCTCTTCCAAGAATTATGAAATGTAATGTAAATTACTCATTGTAATGTTGTCATTGCTCAGACAAAGCATAATTTTTATAGCCTTCAATCTTGTATGATTACAAAGCTATGAAATAGTCAATCAGACCCTTCTTGCCTTACCCACACGTCACATTTTCACTTTCAGAAATTCCCAGTACTTCTATCTACTATTTTATTTATAACTATTTATTACATTGTGTTCTGTACAAAGAATTGTCGATTTTGCTTTGAGTTCAAACTATATTCTTACAGAAAACACATCAACAAGCGTTGCTCCAAAAGTATAAAATAATTTTATTTTTCTGCTTACTGTAATGAAACCTAATAGAACTGATTCTTATTGTATAATTAAATACATTTCAAATCTTATATTTGCATATGTTTCATGTTGCTTAGAAATTTTGCTATTTGCAGGAAAGAGATTTTTGTGTTTCTGTTGGTTTTTCTGGTTTATAGTTATATGAATTGTGAGCTTCTTATGAAAATGTTATTGAAAATTTGACTCGCATAAGATACTCCTCACTGAAAATTTTCTTAGTAGGAACTGTTTATCTATTCCATAGGGAGTGGTGGATATTGCAAAAGAAATCAGTCGATTAGATCAGAAACAAGAGAAGTTACAAACCCAAGCAAAGAAGCTCAAAGCTGCTATGGAGGCATCAGACTATGAAATCAAGGTACCAATGGATGTAAGAGCAGGAAACAAAGAGAGGGTAATTTACTAACAGTTTTTTATTGCTTTAAACTTCATTCTAGATGCTTTTTTTTTGCTGGGAGGAAATATTTATGTTTACTGCTATCTGTTATAGATTCAGAAATTCTGAAAGTAAATGAAAATATAAGTATACTTACTTACATTTTTAAAAATTGAGATCAAGTTTCACTGGCGATCAATTTATTAACGTCTGTTTTTAGTGTTTTTGTCGGGTCAGCTCTAATCCTCTTAAACTTGCTATTGTCCGATAGAATGGCATCCAATTTTGTCTTATATTCCTGTTTGTCCATGATCACTAGAGTATTAGCTTTGTCCGCACGTCGCACAATGATATCGTCATGGTTTCTGAATTCCTTAGAACAAACAAGCAAAAGAAAAGGTTCTCCAATCTATCATAGGAGACTACGCGCCTGGATATATCTACGGAACCGTAAAAACTCATAAACAGAACAGCCCTCTACGGCCAATCATATCACAAATTCCTACCCCTATATACAAGACTGCCAAAGACCTAAACCACATCATCACTCCGTATATGCCTGCCCAACACATGCCACAAATCCATAGGGACTACTCGCCTCCTTGGACATTGAATCATTATTTACCAATGTACCAGTCCAGTATACGATAGACATAATCTGCGACAACGTTTACACACACCCGACCATGTCTCCACCCAAAATACCTGAAGAAATAATGCGTGAACTTCTACTCGCCTGTACTACGAAGTCACCTTTTCAACATATTGTTATGTCTCCGTTTGTTAATTGATTTTCCGTAAATTCGTTCCGACGAAACTTTAGCAACACAAGTCCTTACTTAATAAAACTGGTTTATTCTTTCCGAATATAACTTTACGATACACTTAATTTCAACAATCGCGCTAAAACAAATGCTATAACAACGAACGTGCTCAACTTCAATAATACTTTCTCACTGCAGATCAATTACTCACTACCTACACACACATTACATTACCGCGTCACGTTGTCCCCCTCTTATATATACCAGCCTACCCTATCTAGTAAATACTAGAGCATTCGCCAAAGTACAGGATAGTTCTAGAACGTGACATCACAGTAGTCATGTGACTCGCTGACGCAACACTGCCCCCTCCTTAATATTGTTCGTCCCGAACAATAACCACATATGATAAACCAATTACAATTAACAATAACTTAATTAACTGTACAAAATTACAATTCAACAAAGTCTCTTAATTTTACGGGACGTTATCTTATTCCGTACTGGTCTCCGTCTCGTTGGCTTCTGCTTCATGTGGGATTCATCTGCTTCATCAGTAAATGTCCTATCATCGGTAACAGTCACATCAGTGGTAGTAACTTTACCAAGAGCTTCACCGTTTCCCTTCTCAAAACTGAGTAGAGTTTCTTCTTCGACGGCAGCTTCTTCAGGTGGCACGTCTTCAGCAGCATCATTTGTTCTGTTTTCCACTTCGTCCCAACTGAAATGTCCTGAACCATGATAACGCCAAAGCCTGTTGGCATGCACCACTTTTGGTTTACCTCGCCGACCACATTTTACCCGGGAAGTCACGTCTGAGAGACGATCCACTATGTCATATGGGCCTTCCCATGGAGATGACAACTTAGGAGACTTCCCCTTGGTCTTCCTGGGATTATACAACCATACCTTGTCTCCTGCTTCAAAGCTGACTTCAGTAGATCTCTTATCATAAGTTAACTTCATCGAATCAGCAGACGTTTTCAAGTTTGAACGTACTTGATGGTGAATAGTATCCATCCTTTCCGATAACACTTTCACAAACTCTGACACATTCTGAGGCAACTCTTCATAAGGTGGGCGTCCTCTTAACAGATCCACTGGCAACCGAAGTTCACGACCAAACATCAACTCTGCTCTATATGCTTCCCACGGTGCCTTCCCATCGAATTCCTGTGGCTTCCTTCGCACTGGATCACTCCTATTACT